ACACACACACGCAGCACGCACGCACGCACGCACGCACGCACGCACGCACGCACGCACGCACACGCACGCACGCACGCACGCACGCACGCACGCACGCACACACACACACACACACACACACACACACACACACACACACACACACACACACACACACACACACACACACACACACACACACACACACACACACAAACACACACACACACACACACAAGTCCCAGGATTCTTCATATTTTCCCATATTTTCTGGACTTTCGTCTTCTCCCTCGCTTCCCATATTTCCTCGTACCTATACGACCACCCTGCGGGTGATAAGGAGGTTGGGGGGGGGGCCAGCAATGGGCAACAGTGGTGAATGTTGTTGTGACAATGCCAGTGGAGATAGTTGCGTTGCCGCTCGCCCTTGGGGGCGTTGGTGTCGAGTTGTTTACGTCACCCCTCCCCTGGGAACCTGCCCAACCTGCGCAACGGCAGCTAACGGCGCCATTTGGCCACAGAAGACTGAAGCGCTGGCAAAGCTTGGCGCAGCCCGCGCCGCCTCTTGCACTATCGATCTCAGTATCGATCTCTCTATCGGTCTCACTCAATCGAACTCACTCGATCAATCTCACCATCGATCTCACAATCGATCTCATCATCGATCTCTCTCGGCCGGTCTCACTATCGATCTCACCAGCGATCTCACAATCGATCTCACTATCGATCTCACTATCGGTTCCCCTATCGATCTCCCTTTCGATCTCACTCGATCGATCTCACTGTGGAGATCACCGTCGATCTCACATCACCGTCGATCTCACACACGATGCCGCTCGACGACACACGTGCCGCTCGACACACATGCCGCTCGGCCACACGGGACACCAGCGGGACACCGGCGGGACACCGCGGGGCACTGGCCGCCCGGTCAAGGTTCTTTTGCTCCGGCCGCGCCTCAGCCACAAGAGACTTTCTCTCGCCCGCCCACGCAGCTTCGCCTCGCCCGCACGGCACGCACGAACACGAAACCGAAATCGATTTCCCGGTAAGGGGGCTCTCCGTTCCACTTCGATCTCACCCCCCAACCTCCGATTTGCTGGGAGTCGACGATTAACTGTGTCTGTGCGTTTTTTCCCCTCCTGAAATATACAACCCATCTGCACACGAGCAATCCGGAAAAACACGCAGTGCGCATAAACTTGGAGACTTCCGCGCAACCTTCTCGAGTCGGCGCCAGGGCCCCCCCTTCGTGACGCGCGCGGAGCGCTCCAGGAGCGGCGCCAGGCGTCGATGCTGATGCTCTGTCGCTCCGCCGCCCCTGGTTTTTGGGTGGGCAGAGTGTCAGGGACGGGCCACAGCCAACCCGTACCATAAGGATGCGCGGGAAGAGCGCAAGGGCCTCGGAGGGCCACGCCTGCGATTCTCGGACGAGGCTGGCCAGCGAGAGTCGCCAAGCGTGGGCCTAGGGGGCAAGGATGCCAAAGGGCACCCTTGTGAAAGCTGCCCATCCTCACTATGCGGGCTGGCTGTAGCCCGGGTCCGCGCGAACTTGGGCCAGCCCCCCGCGCCATCACGAGTCTGGGCCGGGCCGCGCTGCAGCTCCCAAGCCCGGGCCAGCGGAGGGACTGGCAGAGGGGCCCCGACCCCACGGGGCTCCCCAACCAGGGGCCAGCCCGAGGGGATTGGCGGACCCCTGTGACCGCTCACCCCGGGCCGTCACTGGGGAGTACAGTTCTCGCGCTGGGAGGGAGGGGTTGGGAGGATGAAGGGCATGAGCAAGTGCATATCCGAAGGCAACGAACGATACTTTCGGCCGCCTACGGGTAAGGATATCCTCGTCCCTCCGAACCCAATCCTCCCACCCCGATAATTGACTTCCTGGGCCACGTGATGCCCGAGAACACAAGAAAGAAGCGCTGCATATGCATGCTCCGCGCGGAGTTCTTGGATCGGTTCCCTGGCGCGGGGAGCGCGCCAGGGGCGGCGCCGGAGGCGTCGCCAGGGGGGGGGGGGGACCGGCGCCAATCCAAGAAATCCGCGCGAAGCTCCGAAAGTTGACGCTTACGCAGTGCTTGTTCTTCGAGCTACGTGATCCCCGAGAAACGATCGTCGAATCTCGGCCTCTGCAAGAGGTGCCGCCTTCGCACCCCAGGGCCACCGGGAAAAAGGGGGCTAAAAAAAAGCAGACCTCGGGGGCTCGCGGGCTGGAAGACATGCCAGCTCTGGCCTGGAGGAAACCGCATCCTCCTCCTGCTCCTGCTCCTCTTAACCTGCATACCGCGGGTTCGTGTCATGCCGACCCCAGCGTTGGCTCCTGACGCCGAGGAGATCATTCAGTCTTGAACGGTCTGCCGTCTCCGAAAAATCCGATCGCTCAACATCGACCGATTCTGGGTCGCCGTCGGCGTTCAACGTTGAATGGCGGGGTCGCCGCTGGTCGACACGACGCGAACCTACTGTAAACATAAACTTTCGCAGGTCCGCGAGGATTTCTTGGAACCGCGCCGGGCACCCCTTCCTTGGCGCGCGGAGCACGCCAGGGGCGGCGCCGGAGGCGCCGCCATGGGGGGCACCAGCGTCGATCCAAGAAATCCGCGCAGAGCTCCGCAAGTGTATGCTTACGCAGCCCGCTGCCGCTCCAGGAGATCTTGGAAGCCCTGGGTCCAGGAATACGGGATCGGCGCTCCTGCACCGCACCGTGTTTGGACTCCCCTCGGGCCTCGCCCCAGCGCGGCCGAAAAACTATGCACAGTGCCGTTCCTGGGTCGAAGATCGAGGCTGCCTCGAGAGGCGTCAACGCGGTACAGTGCATACAAGCTGCTCGCAGAAAAAACATCGACGTCTCCCGGCCCCTGAGAGGCATCCCACGAGCCCCTCAAATGCATCCGAGAAGCTCCTGACTCATGAGATAAGTTCCAACATCGTCGCAAACACTCGCTCCTTCTGGGGGGCCGGCGGAATGGCGCAAACCACTTGAATCTAGACGTCTCCTGTGTACTTCCGCCGCCTCTCCGCCTGCTTTCCGCTGGCGGGCTCGCCGCCAGCTCACTCCCGCCAGCCTCTGCCGAGTGCGAGATTCGCTGATTGCGCAGCCCTATCTGCAGCGTGCGATTTGTTGCGTCCAGCAATGACTTGGGAAAGGAGGAAGGAAGCTGAGCGGACGATTTGGATAGACCAAATGGGAACTCCAAGAGAGATTTAGCAACGGAAATGGGCAACTCCACGAAAGAAATAGCCTGGCAACTCCACGAAAGACGTAGCAGCGGAAAGCGGTGTAAACTCGACGTCTCCACGTCTGGCCAGGGGCAGCCAAAACCGGAGGGGCACGAGAAAGAAGAAGGACGCGAGGCGAAGGAGGAAGCGGAGCGCCACGACGAGGTCGAGGCAGAGCGGATGCATTAAACCATTGCGCGTGCGCATCTCATTCTGGAGCGTGTGAGATACGGTGAGGGCATTGGATAAGGAACCATTGGGTAAGGAATCCAGGATCTGGAATCCAGTGGAACTCCAATTGTGGAGTGGCCATGGGTATCACCGCCGCCCTCATCAGGTAAGGAACCCTCCAGGGTCTGAAGCCTCCTGGGCGCATTCCTTAACTAACGCCCCCACCGTATCAGGAGCGGCCCCCGTCGTCGTCGTCGCGATCGCCGTCGTCGTCGTCGTCATCGCGATCGCGTCGTCGTCGTCGTCGCGATCGTGTCGCCGTCGCGATCGCCGTTGTCGTCGTCGTCGTCGTCGTCGTCGTCGCCGTCGTCGCGAGTGCCGTCGCCGCCGCCGAGCCCCCGGGCGGGCTCTGCTCGGGGCCCCGGGCCCCCTCTGCGGCCAACTCGGAGGGCCCTCGCCGAGGCCCTTGGCGGTGACAGCGGCGCGGCGCCAGCGTCGTTGCCGCCGCCACAGTCGACGTCGACGTCGTAGTCATCGCCGCCGTCGCTGCGGTCACCGCCGCCGCCGTCGCCGCCGCCAAATCGCTGGCGCCCTCGTCGTCGCCGCCGCCGCTGCCGCTGCCGCCGGCGCCGTCGCCGTCGCCGTCGCCGTCGCTGTCGTGGTCATCGTCGATCGTTCGAGGATCGGGATTTTTGCGCCGCGTTTCCCCTATTTGGGCCCTTGAGGGGCCTCCCGTCGGGCCAGGGGCGGCGCTGGAGGCGCCGCTGGGAGGGTCCAACTCCCGATCCGAGACATCCGCCACGGAGCTCCGAAGCATTATGTCTAGATAAGGCAAACGCGTGTCACTACTCGCAAAATAACTGCTCGCAGATGGCCCGGATCCGCCGCGGGGGGCTTACGATCCATGCCACATCGAGGCAGACATGTGTGTGTGTGTGTGTGTGTGTGTGTGTGTGTGTGTGTGTGTGTCGCACGCGAGTGGTGGAACGCGCTCGGTGGATGTTTATGCCGTCTCTTGGTCGCACGCACAAGGGGGTAGGCTTGATAGAAGGAGCCTGCTTCTGAGAAGGCGCCGGCCTTACATCCATTGAGAAGGCCCGCACCTTCTACGGAGAAACCAAACAGTACCGATACCGCTACTCCCCGGACCTCTCCCGGGCTGCGTTCTGACCAGGGCCTCGAGGCGAATCCAGCGGTGGCGACGAGGGCCGCTCGGGAGGCCCAGCATGGGGAAAACGAGGGAAGGGTAAAGGTGCGGGTGCCTCCTCCTCCTCCTCTGGTTCTTCGGGAGCGGCCAAGAGGGGGGTGTCCAAGAGGGGTGGCAAATCATGACCGGCGGCATGTGTGCGGCCCAGCGGGGGGGCCAGGGACGTAATGAAATAAGAAGAGGCGCCATGAAATCTGGGGAACTATCATGGCCCACGCCATGATATCCACCCCCCCCTAGTCATCACCCCCCGCTTTTCCGCCCCCGAGCTCTGGGCAGCAGCCTCCCTCCGAGCAGCGCGTGGCCGGGCCTCACCGTCTTCGGCCACGGGCTGGGCCCGGCCGGCCCCCGCGCGCGTGCGGCGCAGCCGGCCCTCGCCCCCCCCCCTGTGCGCCTGCGGGGCGGGGCGGGCCCCGCGCGCGGCGGCGTGCGCCTGGCAGATGAACTCGCAGCTGGCCGTGCTGAGGTACGCCTGCCGGACGGCGGCGGCCGGGCAGCTACACTTTGGAGGCCTGGAGATGGGCACCAGCACCAAGACAGGGGGCTGCCTCCACAGGGGAGAGATGATCCTAGATTTCGGTGTTGGTGGTCATATTTCGGTCACCTCGGAGGCCAGAATATCACCACCATCACCGAGATCGGGATCTTCTTCCCTCGGTGGAGGAACACCGCCGAGATTGGTGTTAGTGTCAACCTCTAGGACTGCGAATACCGACCCGGGCCAGTCGAGAGCTGTGTAGGATCCTGCCAGATGCTGCGGGGATCCTGCAGGAGCCGGCGCGCTTGCCCGGGTCAGCGCAGCCCTGGCTCTGCAGGATCCTGCAAGATCCGGCGCCCTGGCTGACCCCCGTTTGCATTGATCCCCGTCCCTGGAGCCCCGACGCTGGGATGCAACTTGCGCGTTGGTTTCAAACACCGCGTGGATCGTTCAAACTTGAGTGATGGCGGCTTTCAACTGTGAACGATCGCGGTCTGTGTGCGGCGAGCCGAATGCTTGTCTGCGATGTGCCAACGGAGAGCCCGTTGGGTCCACAGTGCAGGAGGGTGGTAACCGGCAACCTTATCGCAGCAAGTATTCTGCCTCGTAGGTCGCATGTTGTGACGGGCTCGTGTTTTGGTTGCGTCGGCGTCGCTGGTGTACTCGCTCGGAGGGGGGGCTCGGTGGGAACGGGAGGGTCGCCCGCAAGCCCGTCGTGTCTCCGTCGATTGCTGCGGTCGAGGAGCTCGAGATGGGGGTCGGCAAATTCACCGCTGTGAGTAGGTGTAGCGACGCAATGAGGCGTGACGGTAATGCTCCGAGCAAAATGAGATTGCAGATCATTCGTCTCGTGATCCGCCTGGGTGTGCCCGCGACCACGCGCGGCATGCGGCTTTGGGCCCTGATGAATTGCTCCATGAATGGCGATGCATAAATGGGTCCAGGGCGACACAAGTAAATCTACACAAATTCCAAGAGCGAAGAGCGGGAACCATCAACTCTCATGGATCGATGGGAGGCGGGGATCAAGTTCTGATTTCGCCGCCCATCGAACTGCCGGACTCGTTGACCCGCGAAGGGATGGTCCAGAGCTCGCCGCCGACTAGCAGCTCTTGCCCGTGAGCTCTTGTGACAAGAGCTCCTGTGACAGGAGCTCCGCCTGCCCCTCCCATTTCCTCTCTCCCCGGTTGCCTTCGGAAGCCCAGCAGAGTGTGAAGCGCGCCCAGAAACGCTGAATACACGTAAGAAAGAACGCAAAAATAAGGAAACGCAAAACGGGCCGCTGAAAGAAGGAACGCTAAATCAGGAACGAAGCCCCTTCTTGGTCCTGTAAGCGCCTCCGTACCCCAGGAGGGCAGGAGGAGCAGCACTGGAGGCACCCAAGGAACAGCGAGCCCCTTCCGAACCCAGCTGTTCCTTATTTCAGCGCCTTGACTGTACCTTCGTTGGAAGCGGCGCTGGCGGCCGCTCCACGCGAAGGGGCCCATAGGTCGGGCTGCGGAGCGGCAAACGGGCACCCAGGCGGCGGCGGGAAGCCACGGAGCGCGCCCCACGACTCGCAGAGCGCCAGCTCGCAGACGTCCGAAACGCACACACACACACACACACACACGCACACACACACACACACGCACACACACACACACACACACGCACACACACACACACGCACACACACACACGCACA